AAGCTGTCGTAGCTTACTGCTTATCAGTGGCATCTGTTTGGTGATTTTAGGATAACACAGTGCATCTCACCACTAGGACTTTGTCTGTTAGTTGTGGACCATTGAACTCCATTTGTTACTGGCACATGGCAAGCCAGGTCATCCACTCCATATCCATGCAATTAGTGCTGCCACCCATATGAATAGGCAGTGGTGCTGTGTGCCACATCTTGAGGCAAGCAAAGACATGTCTAGGCTCTGAAGGAGCTGGTTATGGAGATGTTAATGTTTTTGCTGTCTTAAGATAGCCAGTCAGCAGAGGCATAGCAGTAGCTTGGTAATACTGCAAGCAACAAACACTACAAGCTAAGCTGGTGGAAAAGATGCAAGAAAATCAGAATACTTTAATCCCTAAGGAAATTATGTGATGAAGCCTGCACTAATATTCGGTTACATTTTGTATTCTTTGAGTATTATACATATGATAGAGTAGCCAAGCCAACTTTATTTATAAGGTACTTTAAAGCTGGTTATCCAACATCTGAGTAGTCGTTTCTATTAGACTTCAAAGCATGCATAGTCAGTGTGATATAAATTGTCACAACACAACAGTTTCTGCTTTTACCCTTGATTATTTAATTAAATGTCACATGTTTTTATTGGTTTTAAATTGCTTTTCACATGTTAAATTTCAGTCTCCAGACAGGTCTGGGATTGGTCATCAGATGCCACCAACCACTGTTTTATGTATAAGTGCATCAGCTCCAGCTGAGATAACAAAGAGTCTACTAATCACCATTGCTGACCAATTTAACACCGGTTCAGACAGTTTGTTGAACCTGACTGTGATTCTTTAGTTAAATCTGAGCAACTTAAATTCAGAGATAAGTAAATGTATTAATTGTCGAGTTGTGAGTTGTACTTTTTACATAGCTTTTTTACATTTGCCTTTTGGAATTCTTTTAAGGTTGTAATCCCAATAAATCTAGCTGCACAATTCCTCTGTCATGGATCAGACACCATAATACATCAACAAGTTGGAAGTTGTTTAAAAATAAATAAATAAAAATCATCTTTTAGTTGCTGGCTTGTTTTTAAAGCAATGACTTTAAACTTTTCTGATTTAATTGTAAATAGAAATTCCCTGAAGAATAATTAATGTTTTCCCTTTATTTCTTCGCTACAGGAGGACATGGAGAAGATGGAGGCTAGGGAAAAGGAACTGAAACAGCAAGAAGCTCAGAAGAAGCTTTTTGAGGGACTCAAGTTTTACCTCAACAGAGAAGTTCCCAGAGAGTCTCTGGCATTCGTCATCAGGTGAGCGAGAGATGCTACAGTGAAGCAAAGAAACGTCCACGGAAGCCTGAAGCTGACTTTTTCACTTTTGTGTATTTCTGTTGCCTTTCAGGTGTTTTGGAGGTCAGGTATCCTGGGACAAGTCTGTGTGCATTGGTAGCACATACGATGTGACAGATGAGACCATCACCCATCAAATTATTGACAGGCCCAGTGTTGGCAAACAGTATATCAACAGGTAGAGAAATGCTTTGCTTTTCATCATGTATGAGAAGGTTTTTTGTGTTTTTTTTTCCTTATAGAGGTATTTGATTTTGTCATAGAATTCGTAATCCTAGAGACAGGAAGTGTGTCATTCATGTACATTACCCACTTTTACAATGACTCCTTTCACTGGAATATTTCCCATCCCCCCCACCCCTTGGTCCTGCAGCAGAAAAAATCCTCACCAAAGAGCAAGATTGTATTCTCATTATTACATAGTAGACGCATGAAAATATGCACTTATTTGCCATCATAACAGATGATTTTCGAAACCTTTGCTTGTTTTAGATACTACATCCAACCCCAGTGGCTATACGACTGTGTCAATGCCAAAATTCTCTTGCCTGTGGAGGATTATTTCCTTGGGGGGACTCTACCCCCTCACCTGTCTCCGTTTGTGGAGGAGAAGGAAGGTGACTATGTGCCTCCAGAGAAACTGAAGATGATGGCCTTACAGCGAGGAGAAAAACCAGGTGTGGTTCAGTTATGTCTCAGTGTGTATGCAGGTCACACCCACAATTCGCTGACTTTTCCCCTCTGATCAGAGTCCTAGTTTTAAAAACAACAAACAAAAAATACTTTCAGATCTGAATGAACAACAGATGCATAGGAGGGAAAATTATAAGATAACCATAACCTCTAACCATGGTCTCGTGTCATTATTTTGTTACATCATAAAATTATGAGTATTGTACATAATCAAGTAGTTAAGCCAACTTTATTTATAAAGAACAACCACTTAGCAAAGGGTTGGACATAGGAAGAAAAACACACTTGAATAAAACCTTTTTTTAAAGAAGCCTGTTTAATGTGAAATGGCAGCAAATTCCACTATTTGGGAGCCACTACACCAAGTCCTGTCCCCTGTGAGCCTGCACTGTGTCCTCGGCATATACAAGGAGTTGGTCAGCTGATCTGAGCGACTAGGAAAGGGGAGTGCAAGTGCAGCAACTCAGAGAGGTGGTTTGGAGCGAGGCCATGTAACAACCTGAAAACAGATAAAAGAATTTTTAAAATGTCATGTGGAGAGTTAAATAGACATTCACGGCCTCTCTTAATCTGAATGAATGTAATTGATATTTGTGATTGATTTAAAAAGTTTAATAATTTGCTTCCTTTTTTGGGTTGTTTTGGAGACTTTAACACAGAACTGTTCTGATGGTCTGCTTATGTGAATAATTACTGCCAGCATTTCTTAATTGGATGATTAAATTTTTCTTGGTGGCTGGATCGAAATGTTGTGATTTACTAAAAGAACTGTAAGCGAGACAGCTTGTGGAGGTTATAGTTTATCTGATCAGAGTCCTAAAAAGCCACTTTGGCATCACACAGTAATGAAAATAAAAGATGAATATTTAATATAGGCACACAGGATTGAAATGTCAGCAGCACTAATTTTAAATAATTCCTTTTTCTTCCTTTTATAGGCAATGAACAAGAGGAGGATGAGGAAGAAGAGGAGGAGGAGGGAGAACAGGAAGAGGAAGAAGAACAAGAAGAGGATGACAATGGTGATGAAGAGGATGATGAAGAGGAAGTAGCAGAAGAGAAAAACCTTAAGAAAATGGAAGAACAAAGATCCCAGGGCAAGGTGATATGTCAGATCCTGATTTCTTTGTCATTGTGATTTTATTTTTTAGATCTTTTGGAATCTTTATTGACTCGTCTCGTTCCCTTTTAGTCTCTACATGTCAAAGTGACACCTGGAAAGCTGAAGGTAGAAAATAAGGCACGCTTGGAGCAGGAGGAGAAAGCAGAGGAGAAGCGTCTGGCCATTATGATGATGAAGAAAAAGGAAAAGTACCTCTATGACAAAATCATGTTTGGAAAGAAAAGAAAAGTCCGTGAGGTGCGTACATTGCCGCTTCGCTAAGAATATTTGTTCAACCTAAAAGCTTTAACTTTGAATATTTTAGTGTTGATACTGAGCATTTTATCTCAGGCCACAGTGTTTACCAGTATTATGTAGCCGCTGCGGAGAGAACGGCGCAGCCCAGCGTTGACCCCCGCTGAGTTCACTGAGCTTAAAAATGGTTGCGTAACTGGTGTTGAGTATCTTCCATTAACTGGGCTCCTTCTCTTTTTACAGGCTAACAAGCTTGCTGCCAAGAGGAAGGCTCACGATGATTCAGAAAAAGCAAAAAAGAAAAAGGCCCGAAAATAACTGGTGCCTTCTTCAGACTGACTTTCTTTTTAACTTTGAGACTCAGTGCATTGCAGGTTTACATACCATAAAACCTGAAAGTGCAGTAGAGCTCTGCGTGCTACATGCACTCTAATGACCTCTGCAGAACTTCAAACAGCGCAGGTTGTCACAAATGCTAGTTGTGTGATTATTATTGTAAAAGTAACTGTTTGATCTGTGCTCCACTTTTCTGTATTGTACAATACAACTTCCTGTTTATTTTAAAATCTGTAACCGAAACATTTTACAGTTAAACGGACTGAATTAAACCTGTTACTTGTGACATTGCATCTCTAAGAAGAAATGATTCTCTTAGTCTTGGCGCCATATTGAAAAATGATTATTTATCCTTGAGGCTGTAGCTTTAGGGCAGCTGTTTCTTTTTAAAGCTGTGCATGGATCAGACAAGATGGCAAAAGGTCAGAATATAATCTGTAACGCACGGCTTAAGATTTCACATCTGCAGAGGCTCAGGTCATGCTGCTGCTGTCGGTTGAACCTCTTTGCTGATTGGTTAACACTTAAGTAGTGGGTGGTAATGACGAAGAACCACAAGACCAAAGCACCATCTCAGAGGGCAAAGGCTACACCCATCATACCCCTCCGCTCCTTGGTTTCCTCACACAGTTTGACACTCGCTGCAGCCTCTCATCCCTTGCCTAGGACCCAAATCTACATTCCTCACAAGCCCACCCAGTTCAAGTCTCAGCCTAGCACTCTGTTTGCCTACAGGCAGAACCACTCCCCGCTGAACAAAAACGGTGTTGTGCCTGAGCTTGATGAATGTGGGTTGACCAGCACAGCTCAAGTCTGCCTTCCAAGAACCGAGAAATCAGTTTAGAGGAAGATGGAGTTCATGTGTAGTGTGGTTTTGTTTTTTGTTTAGTTTTTTTTGGGCGGTATCTTGACAGCGTATTGCAGTATCTGTACACAAAGCCAGATAGACTTGTCGCTCCAGTAATGTTCACTTTCTGCTGAAATGGTTGCCTAGGATGGCAGTTTCACATCAGAAGGTACCGTGTGGTATAACTTGTATGTAGAGTTAAAATATCGATAGCCTTTAGTTAATGAATTGCAGATAAAGATAAGGGAGATTTAAAAGATCAATCCTTTGTAAATACAAGCTGGAAAAACTTATGTGCAGGTTTGTTGTGAAATAAATATCAAATATCTGATCTGTGGTGTAAAATTTAACAACACATACTCGGCAGCCTTGATCAACTAGTACACTCGGTCTTTGTGCTCTGGATTTCTACATTTGTTTCTCTTATGCTGTTTTCTACCCCTCATATCAGCTTGCAGCTCAGACTCCAGTGTCTACACTCAATGGTCTTTTGTATGTAGACACTGAATAGGCACTGTACAGTCTCACTCCTCCCTCACCAGTTCAACCTCCCTCCCTCTCACCCCTCCTCTTTTACGCTTCCTAGCAAGTGCTTGTCCCTTGACACAATTACTGACGTCACAGGTGGCTTGATGAGCTTCCCTGCAGTGCTTTGTTCAGCGTGATCAGTTTTGGAATCAAGTTGAGGGAGGAGGCAGCTGGCTGCCTGAAAGCATCAGGTGTGCGTACAGAGGCGGAGAGAAAGAAGAGAAGAGGAACCGCAATCAGATGAATGAGCTGCGCTGCACAGGACATGTGATAGGACAGCAGGACCGTGCTGGGTCAATAGTGGCATGTTTTTGTCTGAATCAAGATACAAGGACAGCCGTTAGAGGGAGATGAACTTGTATTCACTTTTTGGGAACTGGGCGGACTAAACGATTGTCAATAAATTACCATTACCACTAGTTTGTCTTTGGACTTGCGCATAAGGGTAAGAATTTCTTCTCCGCTCTTTTCACAATAATCTTTTAGTAAATCTCAATTCTAAGCATGTTGTACTTTTCCAACACCTTTTCTCCAGTGTTTTTGCACGAAATGCAGCGATTCAACTAAATCTAGTAATTGTTACCCTTAATGTTTACTCTTAAAACAATGTTATGCTCTTTCTTTTCAATTCCTTCTCATATAAATGGGGGAGAGAGAAAAAACAAACTTTGTAGTCCAGCTATGCAAAGCTTAAGAGCCATGATAGATGAGGAAACATTCAGGAAAGTAAGTGAAATAATGCTAATGTTGATCCTACCCAGGGATGCATTTTTGATAAATCAAGCTTTAGTGAAAATCTAAACATTACCCTCACAACGGAGTTTTTATTTATCCAGGCTAGTGTTTTGATATTATTGTGGGAAATGTTTTCACTGCACCTTTGCAGGCGAACAATCTATTCCCAACTTCAAACACAGTTACTTTTCTCTAGATGGACTTTTTGCTAGATCTGCTCTAAACCTCATTCGAAAGTTGGCCTCAGTCCAAAAGAAGCAATGACGTACTTCACAGTCAGGATTCTCTAAAGCAGCAAAAACACTGTCAGATTCAGTTCAGCACAGACAAACGCACACTGCCATGTGTGACTTACTATAATGACTAGGGATGGGTATCGTTTAGGTTTTATCCGATACCGGTGCCAAATCGGTACTTTTGAAACTGTGCCGGTGCTCAAACCGGTGCTTAAAGAATGGAGAACACAAAATTGGTCCAAAAACCTCTCATGTTCAGCTGTTTTTCGTAAAAAGATAACAATGTTAGCCTTTTCTGCAGCTATGGGGCATATATGGTATCACTCTTGGCTGGAAGCAGTGCTTAAACAATGGAAAAAACACAAACTTTGTCCTAAAACTCATGTTTAACTGTTTTCCACTTTTTCTTTGGTCATTTTAGCCTTTTTGGCCAGGGTGAAGGGAGTATCTGCCATCAAACAAGAGGACAGCCGCATGTAGCTATGATGATGTTTGCTAGTTCACCTTACATGCATTAATATAATAACGTGGTTAGCCTACTCAACGTAAATTACACACGAACAACATTAAGCTACTCACGCAGAGAAGAACGGCTGCTGCTGCTGCCATCATCCGTCATCATTTCTGCTACACTGGCAGGGCTAGGGGCCAGGACTCTCCTCTTCGTGTTTTTGGGGGATGTTGCATAACAGGCAACCCACCCGCAGTAGATGTGCTCGGTGTGAGGTCTCACAGCAAGCTATCAAATACGGCGCATTTTTCGGCTTTTAAAAAAACGCTATGCGTCGCCAGGTGTTTCATCGGATTTGAGGTGTTACCTCCTTTGACAGTATCACAGTATCAGCTTAAAGCACTTGTTGCAGGCTGCTGAGTTTGCATATTTTGCTGTGAAGTACAGCCAGACTTTTGACCGCTTTGCCTTGGACATTTTTAATCTGTAGCTCTGCTCTAAAAGAACGTACGTACCTGGACCCACCTACTATCCTCGGAAACGTAAAATGATTGGCTAGAGGTGTATCACAGCTCAGGGAAAAAAAAGCACCGAAATGTGCGCTGCTTTTCGGTCTGGTTACTACCGTTTATGTCAGAACCGACACCGGTACCCATCCCTAATAATGACTAAAAGAAAAAATATTTAAGGAGTTATGCTTTGATCAGAAAAGGAGGGGACGCAGATGATCATTTTCTAATGGAAACCTAATTTAAAGCTGTTATTAGAATGGTCACTGTAATAGGTTTATCTTTCTACATTATACATAAAAATATAATTTTTAGCAACTTTTGTGTATGCTGTTACTTCACGAAGACAAAATTATTGTGTGGGATGGTGTTTAATTGACGGCGCGATTGTAGAGGAACCAGTAATCCAAGAATGTAAACAGCAACTGAAACAGAGTTGCACAGTGATGACATGTCTATGAAGCAGCAGCAGCACATAACAGGCAATTTAGTTCTGTCACAACACAGAGCTGTCCTATGCTGGCAAAATGCCTCCCTGTGTCACTGACTGGAACATTTACAGGCCAGGCCATAACACTCCTACAACTCCGAAACATTGGAGAATCTCTCCAGTTGGAGAGCTCCAAACATTCTGGAATGCTTCTGTCCGTAAGGAGGTCAGCTCTGTATAATTCATATATACAACTGTTACCAAAAGTACATGTACTTCTTGTAAGTCCTTGTACTTCTATATTTCTAATTCTTCTCCTGCTCTCTTTCACTATAAGTCTGAAAAGTCCTCCCCACACACATACACACTCACACTCTTTATTAATTTTGTGCTCACTCACATATCTTGAGACCAGTGTTGGGTAAGTTACTTTAAAAAAGTAATTAATTACTAATTACTTAATCAATATTGTATTTAAAATACTTATCTAATTACTGTATCTGAAAAGTAACTTAATTACTCAATAAGTAATTTAACTAAATACTTCTTAAAATCCCTATAAACCTTGAGTGGACAAACAATAGAAATGAAACTCTTTAAATAATAAATAATTTTTTTTAAAGATGGAGACTCTACAGTACGCAGCGGTAGCATCTCTTCCACAATGTAGCCTGTAATTATTTTTTAAGCTCACCTTCAGACGCTTTCTGTGCTGCTGAAGTAAAATCAAGTTTTGCCTGCTTAGCAGGAGTTGCCGCGGCGTTATCCATGGATGATGAACAAGGATCACTCAGAAGTGTTCGTCTATACTCTCGTGTCAGGCGCTTCAGTAGACTACTCGTGCTATTAACAGCAGCCGATAGTTTTTACATATTACTGTAATATTCTTGTCTGCTTGTTTCAGAAAAGTGAAGAGACGGGAATATGTCCATTTCATAAAAGAGCCACAGGCTCCAGCAGAGTCCGACATCTTCCGCTTTAGAATACGACTATGCAGCAAAGTGGCGCGAAATGACGTGAACCTGCACTACAGTGATGTTAAAGCGGCAGAGTTTACTTTTACCTTAAGAAGATAAATTATTGAAATTAAATAATGATATTCAGCGAGTTTAATTATTTTACAATGTAACGCAAGTACATTGTAAGTAACTGTAATTAAAATACCTAAATATGAACAGTAATCAGTTACTTTTCCACTGAAAAAGTAGAGTAATTTAATTACAGTAATGCGCTACACCTAACACTGCTTGAGACACTTTGCAGAGGCCCCACCCCAGATTAGGAACCATTTGACTAAACTACAAAACTGTACAAAACCTTTTGAGGATTGGGGGTGGAAAGGGGTAGTTTAATTTGGTAATTTTCTCTCTAAGCGATCTTATTCCACTAGTGGTTGACAAGTTGATACCAAAGAATACTATGTTTTGCTAAGCTGTCGTTAATTTTTAATTAAAAGAATGTATATGCATTGGGTTCACACTGGTTCAGATAATGTTACAAATTCCAGGTGGTGAGTTTCAACTCGTTACTTATGTAGCTGAGTGAGCAGATGGCTCGCCTTATCGCAGTCTGCAGGAGGGAATGCAATATCACTTTCCGTGTTGATGCATTATTTATTTCACAGGAAGCTGAGAAACAAATATGTTGTTTTGTCATTCCTCATACAGTTCAAATTCTTTCTGTTTAAAATATTCATTAGATACAATTACATTATATACAGTATGTAGTATGTTACCGCTTATTCACACTCAACTTGGAAAAGGTGGAAATACTTTGCTGCTTATGTATTTGAACAAGCTGGACCAAATTGTGAAACTACATTCACTGACTTCATTGGAGCATTTTGAAAGATTGTACTTATTGATCTGTACCTACCTGCTCTTCGACAGGTCTCTGTTGAAAAAGAGATCTTAATCTCAGTGAAACTCTGTCTAAATAAACTAGACAGCCAAGGTTAACTATGTAAGTGTAACCTTTCCCTGTGGGTTCATATTCTTTGGCACCTTAAATTATAGGCCACACTATAGCACTGCTGTCCATGTAAAATTACTGGTTTGTAAACCTGCTATTAGTGAGCTTCTTTAATTTTTTTTTAAACCAAAATAGCTGTTGTTCCTGCCCTCTGTCAGAGTGTTCCCACTGAGCAATACATGTACCAAAACCACCATTAAAGCTACGCATTCAGTGCTTCCTTTCCTAAATGACAAATGCAACTTTCACCTGCCTTTGTGGTGCATTTTTCTTTTCACTTTGCTTTTGTGTGCACTTCTGCACACACAACCGAACAAAGATTATAGTCCCTGTAATCAAATTACAATTAAATAACCAAGAAACTATCTAAATCAATCATTTCAAGTGTTCTTGTTATGCTGTGTCAGCGACACACCCGCTGAGGAACAAATTCTGCTTGGTGATTCTGTTTTGAGACGTGAAGCTAGAGAAACCAGCAACCATAGATAATTGTCTTACAGGGTCCAGAGCAGGCAACACTGAGGGAACCCTAAAACTCCTGGCTAAAGATAAACATAAATTTGTAAAATTATAATTCACATCAACAGTAAAGACACTTGGTTAAGTCAATCGAAGGTCACTAAAATTAATATTAAATCAGTGTGTAACTTTGCCAAAAGAATATCGAACTCTGCAGCTTTCTCTGGTCCCCATTCGCACCAGTAGTGACGTGTTTAGCTGCATGTTTTTCTTAATTTGCCTTCTGTCTGAGTGGTGTCAAAAATAATTATGTATGTTTTACAGATAACTGGGAAACTTTCTAGGGCAAACCTGGTCTTAAGACAGATGACACACATCCCACTTTGGATAAACCAGCTCTCATTTTTATGAATCTGGCCAAATTGATTAAACTCCCCAAAACATGACTATCCAGAGTTGAGACCAGGAAGCAAAGTTGCAGGCTTACATTTCTCTCTGCAGCTTCTTTCTTACAAACATAAAAAAAAAATCACAGGAGTACCAATATATCACATACAACTGTACCAAAGAGTAAAACAGTGAGATATGAGATTAATGCATGTTCTAACTCCCTGTTAGAACATGCATTAATCATTTGTCAACAAACTGATTCACCATGCCCTACAGAAACCTGGTTACAGCAGGATGATTATGTTAGTTTAAATGAATCAGCACCCCTGAGTTATACTAACTGTATAATAACTTTTTATTTGTTGTTATCTATCATCCACCTGAACCTTACTCGGAGTCTCCATCTGATTACTCAGGCTTTTTATCTGATTTAGTGCTCAAATAAAATATTTATTGTGAGTGATTTTAACATACATGTAGATACTGAAGACGAAAGCCTCTGGATGGCATTTTTAAACTTAACCTCTGACTACCTTCTCTCAAAATGTAAAAGAACCCATCCACCACTTTAACCACACTCTAGGTCTTCTTCTAACTTATTCTACAGAAACTGAACATTTAACAATATTTCCCCAAAACCCTCTATTGTCGGATATTTTCCAACATTTAAATTTACAATAAAGGATCACACAGAATTGGGGAATACATTTCATTACAGTACATGTCTTTTTGAAGGTGCTGTAACCAGAGATGGGCAGTAACGCGTTACTTACAAGTACTTACAAGTAACGCGTTGCTCGTTTTCAAGTAACGAGTAAAGTCAGGGATTACTATTGCAAAAACGGTAATTAGATTACCATTACTTTCCCGTAGGAACGCTGCGTTACTAAAACCGTGATTTTTTGCAAGAATGTCTCATGACAGTGACGTAAGCAAGTGCGAGTTTGTGACAACAGCTGTGTGCAGATCAACAATGGATAACATATCAAGTGCGGGAGAGAGTATGAGCATGCAGCGTTTAAAGTGTGGAAGTACTGACCTTACTTTGAGTTTGATTCCATAAAAAGTGACAAAAACATTAGTGTCCGTTGTGCGTGGGAAGAAAACTTCTTTTTACAGCGAAAAAAACCCCTAAACATCCAAGCAAGCACCGAGTGCGCTGCGAGGTAATGGGAAATTCACAGAGAAATTCGCGGATTCTTCCACTGACCTCTGTGGCACACCTGCACCAGGGTAAACCTCCGCCTACCCAACTCTTGCTTTACAGGTGAAAATAGAGCAACAGGACCGCTAGTCTTTGACTTTATTTCTTTTCTTCTGTGTTTTACTTGCATCTATTTGAAAGACTGAGTGTAAACACACACAAAAAAAAAAATGTATGTGCTGGAATGTGCACAAAATAGGTTTGAATATTAAACAAATTTCTTCCAGTCAGAGAATGTTGCATATAATCAAATTTTTGCTTGATGCATAAAGTTAAAAGATTAAAACTAATAAAAGTTTTAAAAAGGGACCTTTCCATTTGATTACATTTTGTATGATGGATTATGTAGAAAAAGTAGAATTGGGCTGAAAGATCTATCGCTTTATCACCTATTCAGGTTGTAAATCGTGTTTAAAAAAAGTAACTAAGTAATTAATTACTTTTGAAAATAAGCAATCAGTAAAGTAACGGGATTACTTTTTGGGGGAAGTAATCAGTAATTTGTTACTGATTACTTTTTTCAAGTAACTTGACCAACACTGGTTGTAACTAACTTTATAGATATAATTCCCCCAGTTTTATCTTCTTCAGTGCCTTGTGCCAGCAGAGTGCAGAGCAGGTACCTGAACTTTAATCTCACAGAATTGATTATCTTGTTAATGATTTTACATCTTCAATGCATTTGAATCTGGATACTGTAGAACCTCTGAAAAGAGAATCTCAAATTAGAAAATATTTGACTCCCTCGTGTAACTCTCAAATGCACACCTTAAAACAGATAAGTTGTAAGCTGGAGAGTAAATGTTGTCTCGCTAATTTAGAAGATCATGATTTAGTCTGGAAAGTAGTTTGTTTCTCAAAAGCGCTCCACAAAGCTAGAACATCTTACTCGTCTTCACTGATAGAAGAAAATAAGAACTCTAGGTTTCTCTTCATCATTGTGGCCAGGCTGACAAAAAGTCAGAGCTCTGTTGAGTCAAGCATTCTTTTAATCTTAACTACTTCATGAATTTCTTTGCAAATAAAATCCATCCATTCTTTCACTTGGCAAATTCAGGGTCACAGGGGTGCTGGAGCCTGTCCCAGCTACCGTAGGATGAGAGGTGTTTGTTGCAGGGTTAACACAAAGAGACAGACAACCATTTGCATTCACATTCAAATCTATGGGAAAGTACCCTGAGGTAACTCATACAGACACGGGGAGAACATGCAAACTCCACACAGAAAGGCAGAAGATGGTGGAACCCAGGACCTTCTCACCATGAGGCAACAGGGCTAACCACCCTGCTATTGTGCTGCCTAAAAATTTATCCATTAGAGAAAAAAATACTCATGACCATTTTAAAAACATTACATTGTGTACAGCTTCTTTCAATACCATTGATATTTATCTAGAGTCTTTTTCTCCAGTTGATCTTTCTGGGTTAACTCCAGCTCATCACAGTACTGAAACAGCATTAGTGAAAGTTCCAAATGATCTTCTTATGGCCTCTGATAGTGGACTTGCCATGCTGGATCTCAGAGCAACATTAGATACTGTTGATCATAATATTTTATTACAGCAATCAGAGCATGTTGTCATTACTGTTGACCAAAAATATTTTTTACAGTGATTAGAGCATGCCATAGGCATTAAAGGCCCTGCGCTGCAGTGGTTTGAATCATATCTAGCTAACAGACTCCACTTTTTTAATGTAAATTTAGAGTCCTCTTACACACTAAGGCTAATTATGGAGTTCCACAGGGTTTTGTATTAGTTCCAGTTATGTTTATGCATGCTTCCCTTAGGCAGTATCAATAGAAGATATAGCATACATTTTCACTGCTATGCAGATGATACCCAACTTTATCTATCCATGATGCTGTATTGTACAATGCGCAAAAAATCTTATATAGATGGTTAGACGTTTTCTAACTAGATGCTTACTCTGGATGGCATTACCTTGGTCTCCAGTAACGCTGTGAGGAATCTTGGAGTTGTTTTTGAACAGAATATGTAGCTCAATGTGCATATTAAACAAATATGTAGACGCTTTCTCCCATTTGCACAATATCTCTCAAATTAAAAATATCCTGTCCTGTGGTGATGAGAAACAAGTTGATTATTACTATAGACTACTGTCATTATTTTAATTGCAATTTTAATTGTAATTAATTATTATTAGGGTGTCTTAAAAACTCCCTGAAAAGCCTTCAGTTGATCCAAAATGCTGCAGCAGGAGTATTGACCGGGTTTAGAAAGAGAGAGCATATTTCTCCTTTACTGGATTCTCTTGATTGGCTCCTTGTCAAATCCAGAATCGAATGATCCTACAAGATTTTGAATAATCAGGCCCCATTTCATCTTACAGACCTCATATTATGAGGATGAAGAAGAGATTTGTTCTGCGTTTCAGGTGAGCTGTTCTTCTGCTGGACCATGACTAGCAAGCAAAGAATCCAATGGAGGTCCATGTGCAAAAGCCTGGTCCTGGGTACATTCCTGACAAGCTGCATGATCTTTGTTTACTGCCTCTCCACTTCACAGGTCCACTTCAGTCTGCCTGAGTAAGATGGTGTGGATGTGTTCTGTAGAAACCCTCATGTAAAATTTGCATTTGTCTGCAAGGAATATATTTCACATTCAATTATTTAAGTATTTAAAAAATGCAAAACTGAAGTTTTTTTTAAAAACAAATATTTTCTTTCTAGTTTCTCAAGTGCGATGGGTTGATGCTTTTGTTTATTTTGTGTCACATCATTTAGAGATAATTTCCACAAAACCCCATATGTCTTTATAGTTTGTTCTCCTTTTCATCTATGTAGGGTTCCGGTGCCTTATTCCTGCGCCCACCGTCCAACACAGTCCCACCCCAAACCAACCATCAACAATTCAGACACTGCCTACACCTGTGCTCCTAAAGTTGATATCATGTTCATGAAGACCCACAAAACAGCCAGCAGCACCTTCCTTAACATACTTTTCCGATTTGGAGAGAAACACCAGCTCAAATTTGCTTTTCCCGAAAGCAGAAATGACTTCTTCTACCCATCTCTTTTCCAGCGCTCCCAGGTTAAAGACTACAGACCGGGAATGTGTTTCAATATTATTTGTAATCACATGCGCTTCAATGCACCTGAAGTGTCCAAGTTGCTGCCTGTGGACACATCCTACATCACCATTCTGCGAGACCCTGCAGAGCTTTTTGAATCCTCCTTCCACTACTTTGGCCGCCTGGTGCCTTTTACTTGGAAGATACCAGGTGATGACAAGCTGACTGAGTTCCTACGTGATCCCCACAAGTACTTTGATCCAGAGAGTTTCAACTCTTACTACCTCAAGAATCTGCTGTTTTTTGACTTTGGACTGGACAACTCTCTGGATATGAATGATCCGCGAGTGGAAGAAGGAATCAAATTCATCAGTGACCGTTTTCAGCTGGTCATGTTAGTGGAACACTTTGAGGAATCACTCATCCTGCTAAAGGATGCCCTCTGCTGGGAGATGGATGATTTGCTCTTCTTTAAGCTCAATATCCGTAAGGGATCCACTGTGTCTAAATTTACTCCTGAGCTGAGAGCTAGAGCCCTTGAGTGGAATGCTATTGATTGGAAGCTATACCAGCATTTTAATCAAACTTTCTGGAAGAAAGTAGATGCGTACGGGCGGAAGCGTATGGCTGCGGATGTGGCAGAGCTCAAGAAGAGGAACAAAGAGATGACATCTATCTGCATTGAGGGTGGCCATGCTGTAGAAGCTGGCAGCATCCAAGAGACAGACATGCAGCCCTGGCAGCCAATCGGAGAGAAGTCTATCATGGGCTATAATTTAAAAAAGAATATAGACAAAGCACATCGGAAGCTGTGTCGCAAGATGTTAATGCCTGAGATTCAGTACTTAACAGAGCTTGGGGTGAACCTTTGGATTACCAAGTTGTGGGGCCATGTCCGAGATATAATTAACTGGTAACTGAGTGTGTGAGCACCAGAGGCCAATTTAAATCTGAAACACTGTATTAAGAATTACTGCATGGCTGATAGAATGGGAGGTTAATGACGTATCATATTTCCTGTCTCTTTGCCTGTTTGAATTGTACATCATTGTGCACTGTGATGTACATCATGAGAGCTTATGAAAAAAAAAAAGTTATGCTCTACAAATACTGAATCAGTTTACTGCATGCAGCCGAGGCTTAGTATTCTCCACTATGAGTCCATTTAATTGTTCTTACTCCCAGATGTCAGCTTGTTCTAATGGAGCACTTGACGTAACTATGAAGTTCACAATGACGTTCTAAAGCATGTTGATGGATTGATAAGAAATATTTATTTACATCCCTGAGAAACTTCTGAGCATTTTGAAAACATGGCAGGAATATCAGTTGGTTTGAAGTAAATGAAGTCTTTGATGTTCACCTGAAAAAGTCAAAACATTTCACTGACTGATTCCCCACTAAGGACTGAAATATATGTGAAAATATGCAACAAATCTGTGGAGGACAAAATCAGTCATGATGTTAAAAAGTATGTGAGTATCTCTCTCTCTCTCTTATTTATATATATGTATGTATGTATGTATATACATATGTACGTATGTATATCTGTATGTACATACGTACGTACGTATGTATATATACACGTATGTATGTATATATACATATGTATGTATATGTATATATGTGTGTGTGTGTGTGTGTGTATATATGTATATAGATTTTTTTAAACGAATGGCATTAGCTATCAGTCTACTTGAGAGTCCTATCACTACAAATTCTAAATCAAATCATCATTAATGTTATCAACTATAAACGTGTTTCTCCATGTCTGTCATGTAATATGTTTAATAAATAACAACAGAAGAATCTATAAATGAAAGAGCCAGTAAAAATGATGTAATTAGCAGTAAAAATACCTTAATTTTATAGGATAAATGTTGCATTTTCTTCATGTGAGAACTTTACTGTTCCGTTTTTGTTTGCTGCTTAAATCTCAATGATAATCAACAATAATGTGTTGCTCTTGCCAGTTGTTTTGGGAGGTAAAGTGACAATGTGATGTGACTTGTGTAGAGAGCAGGAAAATAACCTAAAACATGTGTCTGTCAAGTAAGGTCCTACCTAAATGTACAATGACCAAGAGTGTCAAACACCACTCGGATGTCTACACGGCCTTATTATCAGAACCACTCATAAGAAATGCAATTTCATTTCATTAATTTATGTTTGTAAATTCACCTATAATATTTAGTCAGTATTTCTTTCCATTCAGTATTGCTTATTCTTAGTGTTTTGTATTATTAATGATTTGATTTTAACTAATGTGCAATTTCCTGATTTTGTCCTCCATACAATAATCCATTGTTACTAGCAATATATGATAAGCTAAGTCTCAGAATAAAATGAAATGTAATATTGTTTATTTAAAACAACCATTTAATTTTGTTGAATGCCCTGGGATTATTCTGAATGAATGTACACGACGGCTCAACATCTCTGAAAATAAATGAGAAATATATGTTCCTAAAAATGGTGGGTTAAGATAAATGGCCATATTGTATCAGCCTATGGATGGGTGAATAACATTTCACAAGTTTCCTGTTAAAATGAGCATTTGGTGCCGATAATGCCTCAAAATTATAGTGGTTCCAAACGGACCTAATAAAGCATTTATTTTGAAGATCAGTGTTAGAAGATTGTAATTAAATCCAATGCTATTTGCTGTTGTAAAATAAAAAATAAAACATGAAAAGTTCAATGAGGATGGTTATGTTTTTAACAAAAACTGCATGATCACAATACTTTTTCATTGCTTGGAGATGTCCTTAACATTTGTGCTAAGACAGTTATAGACTTAGAAACACTGTTAAGTCTACGGTTTTACATATCAGGATGTACTGTAATGGAAAAAAATATGTAACCCTTGACAGGAATTAAAATTTGACAAATAAAACCTGAAATGAACAACATTTGACATATTACACTGTGCCATTATTGATTATTAAAAGATTACACCTTTCATTTCTGACTTCATTGGAATTGAGATTTCTCTGCTCGGTGTGTCCAACCCAACAGACAAGGAAAAATCAAACACAGAGGGGATTTTGTCTGACTCCTGCTTGTCAGTTTGGTGAGCCACTGGGGCACCTGACTCAAACAGCCCATCCTCCACAAAACCCTCATTTATAAAGTTATCTAACCTCTGTTTCAGTGCAGATAGCTAACAACAGAGAACCACTTACTGCTTCAGAGATAAAGAGTGAAAGTGGACACTATATCCTTGTTTTTAACATAAAACTCATTGCAGCAATGAGTGACTGCAGCTTTTTTAGTTTCCTTATTTTCTTTCTTTGCTTAACGTGCTTTAAAATCTTTAATTTCAATGACTCTTTAACACATTCCAGCTTTGAAGACGGTGCTAAATCTATGACAGGTTTTTAGAGTAGGACTCCAAAGTGTAAATTAACGTTAATACCTATAGTGTTTCATACTACTCAAGATTACAGGACTGAAAGCACTTTGACTCCGCCTTTTTAATATTACAGGAAGTGAAGTACCCGCAACATACAGGGTTGTGGGGGGCGTGGATTTACCACTGCTTTTGATTTCTTGGTGTTGTTTTTTTGTCTGTGTAATATCATGACATCGTAGGTATCGAGCCGGTTGGCCAGATGTTTTAACGCAACGTTAGCGTTGTTCGTTAACTTGTCGTTTTCTTCTTCATGTTGCTAGTTTTGGGGCGTAGCACTAGCTAGAGGCTAGCTAGCTAGCTAGCCAGGTTTAGCTGAGCTTTTTTGTAGCTAACAGTTCTCTGAAGGACAACAGCCTTAATCTTTAACAAAGAAGACTTGGGTAAGAGTAGTACCAATGTCACTCCAGATTTACATGTAGTGACAGAAGTATTAGCACTTATCCTGGGGCATTAACAGCGTCGTTAACCGTTCACGTCCCTGCAGATGAGTGGCCCTGAAATCTGATTGAGCCGGGGAGTTAGCAAAAACATGTCCTGTAAGTCAACTAAAGTGGCTCCGAGTGTTGATTTCGACCACAGCTGCTCTGACAGCGTGGAATATTTGACACTTAATTTCGGCCCATTTGAGACTGTTCATCGCTGGAGAAGACTCCCTCCGTGCGATGAGTTTGTTGGTGCAAGGTAAGGTGTGGACAGCTGAGCAGCAGCAGCATCTTCACTCAAACTGAATACCTGTGGTTTTACTGAACTTCATGCGGCTTCACGCAGGCGCAGCAAGCACACTGTGGTGGCTTACAGAGATGCAATATATGTGTTCGGGGGAGATAATGGGTAAGGGCTACAAGACTTCTGCAGACATTTTTCAGATATATGTGTTATTATATGTATGTGAGAATTCTGTGTCACCCAACAGCAAAAACATGCTGAATGATCTGCTTCGCTTTGATGTGAAGGACTGTTCCTGGTGTCGGTAAGGCTATAGCCTCACAGCCGCAGTTGGTTTGATTTTACTTCGTTGCAATACATATCACAATCCACGGAATAACCCAGATTAACACACATTTATGACTGATGACTGAATGTAGTGTAAAGCGCTTTGGGGTCCATAGGGACTAAGTAAAGCGCTATACAAATATAGGCCATTTACATTTTAAGACCATCATAGTGTGCATGCAGTGAGTATCAGAACAAGGAGCACTAAAAAGTAATCATAAAGATCAGTTTATTTCCACAGTGGACACTTTTTGAAAGTATTACAATACAAGACACCAAATCAGCCAGAGTATATATAAAACATACACAATCTTAACCATATAATAAAATAAAAGTTGACACATGTCTATAATTCACAGAGCTTTCACCACTGGAACGCCACCTGCCCCCAGATACCACCACTCAGCTGTGGTCTATGGCAGCAGCATGTTTGTATTTGGTAAATCCTTCATTATCTATAAAAATCCTTCATTTTATCCATTTTAAACTCTGGTGGCATTTCTGTAATGTTCAAATTTGATATTTTCTAGGGGGCTACACTGGAGACATTTACTCAAATTCAAACCTGAAAAATAAAAATGACCTTTTTGAGTACAAGTTTGCTACAGGACAGTGGACTGAATGGAAAGTGGAGGGAAGGTAATGTATTAACTCGTTTCTTTTTAATAATGACCAAACATTGTTATTGTGTGCCATGATATTATTGTATCTTGCCTCCGTGGTTCCCACCCTTAATACTTTAGGGTTAGGGGTGTCGAACTCCTGGCCTCGAGGGCCGGTGTCCTGCAGGTTTTAGATCTCACCCTGGGTCAACACATCTGAATCAAATGATTAGTTCATTACCAGGCCTCTGGAGAACTTCAAGACATGTTGAGGAGGTCATTTAGCCATTTAAATCAGCTGTGTTGGCTCAAGGACACATCTAAAACTTCCAGGACACCGACCCTCGAGGCCTGGGGTTCAACACCCGTGCTTTAGGTTGTCTGGAGGATAAAATATGTTGGAAAAACTGTGGGCTGGTTTCGCATGTGCCTTTATGTTTACTGGCTAAACTAAAACTTTGGAGGACCTCACACTGTGCACAGTTGCCTTCTACTATGTCCTAGCAACTCCCCCAACTCCAAAATCCTCTATTCTTCGCAAAATTGCTGATAAAAGTTAAGCCCACCTCCTTCAAAAATTAATTTAAGGTTCAAATTAATCCCATAGTATCTCTAATCCTCAGTCTTGCAGTCTGCTTAGTTTAATCCAGGACAAGCAAAATCTACAACTGTTTTAAGTCTTTGCAAGGCCCTTTGAGGTACAGAGACAAATAAAAATTTAGTCTGGGACTATACTTAAGTGTTGTCATTTGAAACTAGTCCTAAAAATCCTGCATCTCTGTTCCAGCTTGCCAGTGGCCAGATCTGCACATGGGGCCACAGTCTACAGTGATAAACTCTGGATATTTGCCGGTTATGATGGAAATGCCAGGTATGTATGAATTTTTTATTTCATTTTCTGCAGATGTATTTGTTTTTGTGCATAACCTTGGTGACTATTTCGCCCACGTATAGGTTGAACGACATGTGGACCATCAGTCTGCAGGACCGAGAGCACGCGTGCTGGGAAGAGGCATGTTTCATTCATTTTCACAACAAAAGAGAACAACATTTAAAGTTAAAGACTCAGAAACTCTTGGTCATTGTTCACGTCTGTCTTTCTGTCTTTGTGTCCATCAGATCGATCAGAGTGGTGAAATTCCCCCGTCTTGCTGCAACTTCCCTGTCGCCGTATGCAGGGACAAGATGTTTGTGTTTTCTGGACAGAGTGGAGCCAAAATTACTAACAACCTCTTTCAGTTTGAGTTCCAAGGCCACATGTAAGCAGCACCCTTTTTTATATCATTCAGCTACTTATACTATATTTACCAGCATTACCCGACACTCATAACTCCCATGTTCTCAGGTGGACACGTATACCAACCGAACATTTGCTGCGTGGCTCTCCTCCACCTCCGCAGAGGCGCTATGGACACACTATGGTTGCCTTTGACCGGCACCTGTATGTATTTGGAGGTGCTGCTGACAACACCCTGCCCAATGAGCTGCACTGCTATGATGTTGACTCTCA